TTGCGAACCAACACCCGCTGCCAGCGTACCATTATCAGCAGCAATACATGGCTTCAGCCATACCGCATTCCATGTGGACACCAGGATCGCAGGCGTATCCACTTTCCAATTCGGGTTACCAGCATTCGCCATATTTGCCGTCCTTGGCTGACGTGAATCAGCAGAATGTCCCTACATACTCTTCTCAAATGCCCTATTCAAATTCCTACAATCTTAGCAGCATGGGTGCTATGCATTCGCAGATGAGTGGTCAGATGCCTCAGCTGCCTCCAATACAAATGCTCTCGGGTGGCACTTCGCAACCGAATCTGGCTCCGATTCATGGCGGACACCACGGAGGACGTGCACTTCCATCCCCAAGCGCAGCTAGCGGTGGCTATTCTACGAGCTATGGGCCACCACAAGCTCAACAGTCTTTACCATCGCTGGGCTACTCGATTCCCCAGCATCATCCGTACATGGGAATGCCATCGGCTCAACAGCCATCTTATCTTTCGCAGCCACCAATGCAACACACATCCATGCAGCCATTAGCGTATCAAACGCATCCTGGCAATCCTTACTCCCAACCAGTCTACCAATCGCCTTCCGCACACGCCCACGCGCCCGGGCCAAGCGGTTATCAGCAATCCCCTAATCCTTCACGACACCACCAGCCAGCACAGGTATCCAATGTGACACCTCTTCCGACCAATAGTCACCCGTCTGGAAGCGCACACTTTATACCCCCACCAACATCTCCAGCACAGCAGCAGCGTCCGGCCCCCCCGCAACGATGATTGGTCATTCTTCCTTAATCTTTACCACTTTCATATCATGTAAAACGGACTGACTACCTTCAGTATCACAGCCTGAAACTTGCAATTGTACACTGTAAAATTTAATGTGATTCAGGAAGTCAAAATTCCCAGTTCAATAACGATTGAGTCATGTTGAAGGCATTGTTCCAGTTCCAGGGCAGCCAGACTTTTCGGGATTGCAAGGGCACTCGCAAAGCTTGCCAGATATCCAATGAGTACCTATCCCGCTCTCTTTCCTCGCAGCCCACCAGGTCCGACCGGCATACGTGCAGACTTCAAAGTAGTTCCCCCTCTCGTGGATCCACATTCCGAAGTTCATGTTGCACATCTTCATGAAATCCTGCGAGATCGACGCGCCTGCCTCATTGTCGGTGCTGGGATATCCGTTTCTTTAGCCGATAGCGAGGAGAACAAACGTTTGGTAACATGGAAGGGGTTCCTGGACCGACTGGCTCTTACAGTCAAGGAAATGTTGAACCTGCCGCAAGAATGGTACGAAGAAGTGGCGAGTATGCTGGAGGTGGATAAGACAAAGAAGCACGGTGTTCGGGAGCGACACTATGCTCTACGACTCGACAAGGCTGCAGAGATGATTGAACACCACGTCAACACCGGGCAGCTGGGGGGCTCAAGTGATCCTTTCATGCGGTATCACCACCTCGTATTCAAAATTCTGCATAAACTCCGCGCGGACCGAACTGCTCCGATTGCGCACATCTTACACAACTTGCGGGCCCCTATTTTTACGACAAACTATGATGTTTTGCTGGAAGATGCCACGGGACGTTTTACCCTCTCTCTGGAAGATTTGCTGAAAGCACAGCGAACCTATCGACTCCGCTCTGACCAACATCCATTGTCTGAACATCAGCAATATGTTTTCCATCTACATGGCATCTTTTATGACGACCCGGAACGAAAGTTTGTGCTCACATCAAGAGAATATGCTGTGACTATCGATGATTTTATCATGGCCCTCAAACCGGTTATTGTGGATGTGGGAAGTAAGATTAAAACGGGTGGAATGGCGTACCATCGAAGTATGATATTTATCGGGACCGGGGGGACCCTCCAAGATTTACATTTTACTAGCCTATTTGCATCACTATACGAGTAAGCAACGTTCTCTTCGATTTTTCTAACGATACTTTGCCACGCTAATGCCTTCACTCCTCGCTTATAGACATAATGTGTTCTTGGAAACGAATGGCTTTGAGCGCGTTCTGCACTATGTTCTACTGAACGAAGTGGAAGCACAGAATGTTACAGATTTTGAATTCGAAGATTCGCTTGGTCGCAGCATTCATGCACATGAGTTGCTCGTCCCGGTTATTTACGGTAAAACCTATAACGAGTTGCCAGTTTTTCTCGGAAAGGTTCTTCAGATGCTGAAGGACGATGATGAACGAGGTCTCCAACAGCCCCAATTCCCGGGGGCCCCCGAAATTGGGAGAAGAAATTCCATCTTTCCATCCAGCCGCAATCTGACCGCAGATACAGAAGATAGTAGTCAGATCAGTCGTCGACCGAGCTTACTACGCCGCGCACTCGACTCCCAAGCGAAGATTTCGAATCCAATTCAGTCTCGCATTGGCATGGCAGGCATCATACGTGCGAATTTATCGCCAGATATGTGCCGGGAAAAAGCGCAAAGCGCCGGCTCGCTGTCTGAAGATGATTTCTCGCCCAGCACATCACCACATTAAATGTTACGCCATCGATTCAAAAAGAGTGCCCAATTTCAACTTTCCGCCACCGAAACAAAAAACAGTCGGGAAAGCCATTAGGCTCCCTTGTACTTATATTTTATTTTTTCTAGACCATTGACACCTTCCTCGACATCATTCATCATAAAATATGCGTACCACTGCACCATCAGCATTCCCAATGGAACGAACGAGATGAGCATGGGCAAGATATCTTTTCCAACGGCCATAAATATTAGCCAAGGGGGAAGGGCCGCCAACCCGAGCAGTAATCGTGTCCGCATGTATTCTGGGACAACTGCGCGTGGAAGGAATGGATGACCGAATATGAGGAAAGGGGAAATGATGATGTTGAGACTGGCGAGGATGTAGGGCATACGAAGCGACGGGAGGTTGAAGGGTAAATTGTTTGGAAATCCGCCAGCTACTAGAAATCTGCCACCACGTAAAAGAGAGAAGAGAACATAATAGGAGTGATTTAGTGCTTTTGCCAGTATAGTTTTGATGATTAGCTGTAAGCTTTGTACGATAATTCTTTGACGGAGTTGTAAATACTTATAAAATCCGTCGCGCCCACAGCCAGTGGGAGCATTTAATGTACTTACAATCCGCTGACGCTCGCGCACACCGCAATGAAGATATTGCGATATGCTTCGCGAAACCGATCACTCCGCCCTCGAAAATGTTCAATCAAATCTTCTTGCTCTAAAGATAATGAATGTTAAGTTTGACATCCTTCAATGATAAAGTGCAGCTGAAAAAGTTCCGGATTTGTGCTCTGCCTTGGCAAGGAAAGCACAAAGGCAATATCTAACCCGAATCTGCATGCAAAACACTACTTACGCTGCTCGTCCATTATCAGTGGATCATCCTCGTCTGCCGACAAGATGGGTGCCGTGGAATCCTTGGGTATAAACGCGGTACGTTTGTACGGTTGTCGCATGTTTGCGATAATCTCTCCTATTGAGCCAGAGCGTCCCTTGGGAGAAACTTCAGACTCGGTATGAATGTGTTCTTCACTGAGCATTATCGAAACTGCTTGTCAACCCAAATTGCCGCAGAGGCAAGTTGGTGAATCTTGCTTGGCACGCGTGACAAACGTTTCTGTGCAGGTTTCTGGTGTGTACACCGCTCTCAACCAAATTTCCAACCAACTCCAAAATATTTATCAAGAGCAATACAAAGAAAGTAAGGGAAGAAACAGCTAACACTAGATTTTTGTAGTAGAACTATGGGACCGTCTGCTATTGACCCGTGCACGCACTCTATAATGTATGGCCACTTGGACGATTAAGGTGATCTCTCAGTACCGGAACAGCGACACTCCCCCAGTTGTTTGTTGTGCAAACAACTTGCCAGAGGGCATGTCCGGATGCATTCCCAGTCCCATACCCGGTTTACGCTCCAGCTTGGGTATTACTTCCGGCATATCTTTGAACTTTTTCGCCAGAAGCGACGACAACTTGCGGAACTCTTCGGCGTGGTCCACCACCAGCGCTGCGTAGTTTGATGTCCCTGTCACCGACTCGTAATGTTTTCGCACATAGTCGCAGACGTTGTTGTGGTATGAATCAAAGCTTGCCCCGCAACGTGCAGCCCGCTCATTAAATGTGAGGCGAACGGCGAGGAGAACCGATGTTGGCGAAAATTCAATGCAGGTGAGAGCGCGGATGGCACATGCCATTGGGGGGTGGAAATCGAGAAAGTCGGCAAATCGGTATACCTCCAAAATCTCCGTCACATCCATATCGAGAAGATATGTCTCGTAGAACTCATATAGAGACTGAATAGTGGCCTCCACCGCCTTGGAAGTGAATAGTTTCGGGATTGTGATCACAGTCAGGTTTCGTTCGGCGGGTCGAGTTGTCGTTGTAAACAGTGAATAAAAGTATGGTGCACGGGCGAGAACACATTTATTGGCCGTAATTTCAAACTTGTCCCGTTCGCAAATGATTTTGACATCATGCAATTTTCGATCTGTTCGGAGGTATGGCAGGAAATTATTGAGTGTATTGGCTGGCCCTGGATGACTAGGATTTTCACCGAGACGCAAAATGCCGTTGGGTGCCATTGGGATACCGTCAAATGGATGGAAAATGTAAAAATACCAGGTAAAGGTGCGAGCCAAACCAGATTAAAGGATAAGGGATCTGTCTCTGCTTACGAAAAAAAAAGCCCGTAAACTATGGTTGCCTCCAACGTTCAATCTGTATATGATCAGGTACACAGCTACTGTACCTGGCAAGACGGTTCAACCCAACCATTGTTTTCTCGTGAAGCTCCTCAAAACATCTGGTGGAGGAACAATGTTTGTGATGTGGCAGTTATCGTATTCTGTTCGGACTCAAGAGGCCAATCAGAAAGAAACCACTTGACATTATGGCTCCACAAATCAAAACTCCTTTTATTCTCTAGAAGACGAAGGTCCCGAAAGAAGAATGTGAAGGGAACAAGAAGATATCGAGCAGGAAATGTGAAAAATCAAAAAAAATAGTGAAGAGTGTGGGACTTGAACCCACAAGGTCTGTTGACCATTGGAACTTAAGTCCAACGCGGCTACCGATTTCGCCAACTCTCCTTGATGAAATTCGAGGGTCAGCGCGTTTTTATAACCCTTGAAAATATACAGTACGCTCCATACCTCCGCTGGCAATAGATTAGATGTCCTTGTATTTAGAGGCTGACAAGACATCTGACAAGACCTTGAGAGTTTGAGATGGATGCAGTAAGTCTCAGCAATTGCCTTTGAACACATGCTCTACCGAAAAATGACATGAGAGTATTACAATCATCGTGCTGTTGATGTCCCCCAAAACGAACCCACCCTCCCGGCGCAATAAGAGAACATTCATACATAGACGGGCTTCCATATGTTGAAATACATGGTCGCCAAACTAGATCACATCAAGAGCATGGCCTTGGATCAAGGCAAATTGATGCACTTTTGATGTTGTACAGTACAGTATTACTGTTTTTGGGTGGCACAGGCACGGTATGCAGCTGTCCGGTTTCAAGAAGCAAGGTCGACTTCCAACTCCAGGTCAAAACCCGCTACTGTCGAACTTGGGTTTAGCTGCTGCCTTTATAGATTTCAGTCGTGACCTCCCATTGGAACAACCCTTGTAAGATACATGCTCGCTCTGTTCGTCTGGTGGGCAGCAACAAACCTTTTTATTGCTGCAGGTTTACAGGGATCTCCAGATCGGGACCGCGCCCACATATCCCCACCGAGTACCACTAGAAACACTGCCAACATGGAAGGAATTCTGGACTACAATTCCGAACTGGACATAGCGCTGTTTGACCGCGTCGTCTCGGCCATGTTCATGACTGGACCTGAGGTATGTTGTAGTTTGTTTCGCCTCTGGCCGGCAACGATTGAGTACTAACCTGCGATCTCCCACGATTCAGCAAATCGCTGCAAATAATGTTCTTGAGCAATTCCGCCAACATCCAGATGCATGGAAACGAGTTGATGCCATTTTGGAGAACTCTCAGGTCATGCAGTCAAAAGTAAGGCTTAAGCGCACGTCACTAGCTGTTCACCATGCTGACCATTTTCCAGTATATTGCGCTGTCTATCCTAGAAAATCTCATCAAAAGCATGTGGAAGGTGCTCCCGGCTGAGCAACGAACGGGTATGGTGAAAATCAGTGATACACTGTACAGCAGCATACTTACCGAGGGTCATAGGCATTAAGAATTTTATTGTTGCATTCATTATCAAAAATTCATCGGAAGACGATGCTTTGGAGAGGAACCGCCTGCTGCTGGGAAAGCTCAACATTGTGCTGGTTCAGGTACAGAGCCTGCCGGCCGCATGGAGTATGACCAGACTCTTAACTTGTTGCAACTTAGATCTTGAAACATGAATGGCCACACAACTGGCCCACCTTCATCCCGGAAATTGTCAATTCTAGCAAAACCAATCTAGCTCTCTGTGAGAACAACATGAACATTTTGAAGCTACTCAGGTACGGCAGCTGCATCCCGTTAGTACGGCAAGCCCCACTGACAGAATGATCAATAGTGAGGAAATCTTTGACTTTTCCGCGGAACACATGACGTCAAAGAAGGCCAAGAATCTGAAGAATACCATGTGCGCCGAGTTTTCAGAGATTTTCCAGCTATGCCATGAAGTACTGGAAAAGGCCCAGAAAGCCAGTCTCATCAATGCTACTCTTGAAACTTTGCTCCGGTTCCTGAACTGGATTCCTCTCGGCTATATTTTTGAGACCAATCTGATTACTATCTTGCAAACACGGGTATGTCTTTTCTCGGTTTTATAAAGGGGAGGTGGGGAAGTATTAAGTTGTTGGTTTTTTCTCAATAGTTCCTCAATGTTGGCACATTCCGCAACGTAACCCTAAAATGCTTAACCGAAATTGCCGGTCTTCGCATTGGCAGTGAATACGGCGAAAAATTTGTGTTGCTGTACAACATGGTGATGGGTGTCATTCCGACCATGCTCCCACCGGATACGAGTAAGTAAAGCCCTCGTCACCGCTTACCAGTATGAGTTGACATGTTCTTGCAGACATTGCGCGGGCATGGGACACCACATCCGACTCAGACCAGCAATTCATACAAAATTTCGCCCTTTTCCTCACAAACTTCTTGGGTGTCCACTTGAAGGTCTGGGGACTGCCACAGTGATTGAGGTTTGCACAACTAACGTTACGAACAGTTGGTGGAAGCCGCGGCAGCTCAGCATGCGCCAACAAAGGAAGCATTACTTCTCGGACACCAATATTTGCTCCGGATCTCTGAAGTAGATGATCGAGAGGTTTTCAAAATCTGTCTGGAATATTGGGCAAAGCTGGTTGGTATTAAAGTTTCTCAATCCGTAAAAGTGTCTTACAACTTGTATCTCAGGTCGAGGAATTGTTTGAAGAAATTCAAGCTGCACCACATGGAGTAGAAATGCCACTTCTCAACCTATCTTCCACGTCATCAAATCGCTCAAATTTTGGAGCCAATTTACCACTTCGCAAAAACATCTATGCCGCCGTGCTTACCAAACTGCGAGTAATTATGATTGAGCAAATGGTCAAGCCAGAAGAAGTGAGTGGCGGCCGTTGCTTATTTCAATTGCTAAGCTCACTCATAACTCGTATTCTAGGTTATCGTAGTGGAAAATGACGAAGGAGAAGTCGTACGAGAATCTCTAAAGGAGAGTGACACGATTGTTCTTTACAAGAGCATGCGAGAGGTTCTGGTTTACTTGACTCATTTGGATGTGGAAGATATGGAGCGAATAATGTCTGACAAGCTTGCGCGCCAGGTTAGCATTTTTTTCCAGTTTCGTTCAACAGTTGTCTGATTAATCTGAATTGTTAGATGGATGGGTCTGAGTGGTCATGGGCTAATCTAAACAAACTTTGCTGGGCCATCGGATCAATCAGTGGTGCAATGAGCGAGGACGTTGAGAAAAAATTCTTGGTCACCGTTATCAAGGATCTCCTGGGTCTTACAGAAATGAAGCGGGGAAAGGACAACAAAGCCATTGTCGCCTCCAATATCATGTACATTGTAGGCCAGTATCCCCGATTCTTGAAGGCGCACTGGAAGTTCCTGAAGACAGTCGTCAACAAGTTATTCGAGTTCATGCACGAATTACACGAAGGTACGGTGATAGCAAAATGTCGAAATCGGGCCTGCTCTTGAGCGAAGCTTTCCCCATAGGTGTTCAGGAAATGGCATGTGACACCTTCATCAAAATTGCCCAGAAATGCAAGCGGCATTTTGTAATCCAACAACAACAAGAGAACCGTCCATACATTGATGAAATTCTGGAGATCATGGCGACTATCACGTCGGACCTGCCCCCACCGCAGGTTTGTTGCGTACCTCTCTCAAAAATCAAAACCCAATCTGAGTATTTCCTTATAGATGCATACTTTCTACGAAGCGGTCGGATACATGATTTCGGCCCAGCCTAATAAGCAGCAGCAGGAACGCTTAATCGGCAAGTTCATGGAGGCGGCAAATAGTGCGGTAAGTCACAAATTATACTACTTTTTTGCTATCTGTACTCAAATTCCGCAAAGTGGGACAGCAAAATGATTCAAGCCCGAACCAACCCTGAAATTCTCAACGATGCCGATACTGTGAAGCTGCTTTCGAACATCATCAAAACCAACGTATATGCATGCACATCAGTCGGAAGCCCATTCTACGTTCAAGTAGGACGGAATTTCATGGATCTGCTTGCCTTGTATACGGCCGTTAGCGGTCTGATCTCGGATCAGATTGCAACGCAAGGTAAGAATACCACGCGCCACTCGTCTGATAGTTTTCAAATAATGTCTTTCAGGATTGATTGCCACGAAAACACCAAAAGTGCGAGGGTTGCGAGCGATCAAGAAGGATGTACTCAGATTAGTCGACACGTACATCACCGCCGCCGAAGACATAGAGAGTGTTATGCAAAACATGATACCACCACTCCTAGAGACAGTTCTTGGAGATTACGCCCGCAATGTCGAACCAGCCAAGGATGCCTTTGTTTTGAATGTCATGGCCAGCATCATCAAGAAATTGGGCGTAAGTCTGCTGTTGGTATACAAGTATAGTGCGTTTGGTTCTCATACAGCGAAATAGGATCAAATGGACGATAAGATCCCAGCGGTTCTGGACGCGGTATTTGAGTGTACATTGAACATGATCAACAAAAACTTTGAGGAATACCCGGAGCACCGGGTCAGCTTCTTTACCCTGATGGGAGCAATCAACGAGAACTGCTTCAAAGGTTGTTTATATGTCACTTTTTCCCATGACGGTGAATCTAATTAGACTTCTGCCATATCAGCTTTGTTACAATTACCTGCGCCCCAGTTTCGCCTGTTCCTGGACAGTATTGTGTGGGCTTTCAAACACACCATGCGGGATATCAGCGATCTTGGACTCAACATCATCTTGGGAATGCTGAATCATTTCTCACTCGTGGATCCCCATTTGGCCAACTCTTTCTATCAATCATACTTCCTCAGTCTCCTCCAAGATATTTTCTTTGTCCTTACCAATCCATTCCATAAATCTGGTAAGAATTGCAGCAATGTTTCAAGATATGAGCTCAGGCTGACGAAAATATCCAGGTTTCAAACATCAAAGTATGATCCTGAAAGACATGTTTGCTTTGGTGGAGTCTGGTCAAATTGGAGTACCACTCTTTGATCCAGCGGTGGTCACCAATCCCAACATGACAAACCAGCAATTTGTGCGTGAATTTGTCATGGATCTACTGCAACGCGCGTTCCCGCATCTCCAAGCGTAAGTATCTGAAGAGGACCCAGTTAACGTAACTCTAACCGGGCTGACTTTTATACAGAAATCAAATATCACAAGTTGTGGAAGGTTTACTCAAGCACTCCAGAGACGACGCTGTGTTCAAGTCGCATCTCCGAGACTTCCTTGTTACGTTACAGGTATAGCATGTCCGTCATCTTGCTACAATTGATCATTTTCTCATACTTCTTTAACAGGAATTTGCGGGCGACGACAGCAGTGATCTGTACATTGATGAGAGGGAAGCCGAAGCTGAAATGAAGAAGAAGCTGGAGATGGAGAAGGCACTGA